TACTCACAACGACATCTCGGAACATAGCAGCAGCAGCGGCGGCAACATGCCACCCCCCGTTTCGTCGACAGATGATGACGTCCCAGAGGGGAATCGAGAGGCGGTTGAGGCAGAGGTCACGATACCACCCCCTGCATCGTGGACAGACGATGACGTCCCAGTGGGGAATCGAGAGGCGGTAGCCTGCAGTGCGGTGTACAGCTCACACTAACACCCCCCCCCTTCAGCAGCACCATCAGGACAGAGGAAAGGAGCGGGAAGTCACGGCGGAGGCTGCGGAAGCCGCGGAGAATCCCCTCAGGACAATCAGTCCGTCAGCAGTCCTCCGGGAGCGCCACGCACGCAGCAGGGGGACCACGGAGCAACAGCCCAGACGCAGGACAGCGAAGCCATCCGCTGACTCGTCGGGAGAAGCCTCCTCGCGCCTATTCGCCCCCCTTCCCCTGTCAGTGAGCTTCTTATGGGCGGCGAACCCCAGGCGCCCTCGCCAGGCGTCCGGGGATCACTGGCAAAGCAGCTTGCGCCCCGGCTATGGAAGCTGCGCCGTCGAGCGTGCACGCGCCTGGCACAGCCAGTGGTGCCCCAGAGGCCGGAGAGAGTCCTGCGCTGTCCAAAGGGGACGCGCCTGGGAGCGACCCCCACGTGCCACGAGGCTGCGTCTGCCCTGGCCGCCGGACGCGATCCGACCCCAGCCTGGCGGCCAACCACGCGGCCTGCATTTCCCCGCAAAACCCTGCCAGGCGCGCAGCTGGAGCCGTCGCGAGCAGATCGCGAGCCCCCCAGCCAGGACAACGAGGCTGGTACGGTGGAGACTTGCGGCCAGGATACAAGGCGGCACCAGAGGCCCGACCTGCGTCAATGGCCAGAGCCCAAGGACCCCGACACGGGACAACAGCTGTACAAAACAGGAATCAACAACATCCAGTGGGACCTCCCCGGGGAGACACCTGGCGATGCGACGCGACGACTCCAAGTCACACTGGGACCAATGTTCACTGGCACTTGGCGCGCTTTCGCCAAGCGGCAGTCTGTGCCCGGCAGCAAGGGCGCGCTCGACCCGCTTCGGCACGACCCGCAAACCTGCCACCTCTTCCTGGAAATCTTCCGCAGCCACAAGTGCGACGTACGGGTCCTCAGCGACGCGCTGGGCCTCGACGTCGACTGGACTCGGCCGTGGCAGCTGCACCTGGGTCGGAGCGGCGGAGTGAACAGTGATCACCGCGCGGCAAAGGGCCACCCGAACAACCAGGCCCCCAAGAAGCGCAAAAAAACAGTGGTGGGCCGTCTCCCCACAGTAGCCTCGCTACCCCCCTCGTGGATCGCACGCGTGGGGTCCTGGTGCGTGGACGGCGGTCACTTGCAGCTGGCCCATCGCTGCCCTGCAGAGAGCGCGTCTCGCGGCGGTTAGCTGCACCCCCTTCATGCGCTGATGTTCTCGGCGCGCAGCTGCTACCATGTCACTTGGTTGTCCAATCATACATGGGGCTCTTGCAGACGCACTCTGCTGGCTCACACTTTGCAAGGGGCATCGCACTCGTGGGGATCAGGTGCGAGGAGGATGGTCTCTGGCAGCAGGCCCGTTGCTGCCCTGCGCGCCCTGCGACGTGGCTCGACTTCTGTTTCGTTCAGAACTTCTACTTATTTATCTTGGCTGTTGTCTACGTGCTGCGTGTGTGGCTATACCGTCGACCTCAGTATTTTTCTCCTCTGTCTGCATGCTGCGGGTGCGGCTATACCGTGGGCAGTCTGTTTCCACTCTGAGATCCACCTTCTCTGTTGACTACGAGTCGTACACCGTACTCATCAGCGCGACTGGGGGTCTCGCTCTTTCTCCCTCTTGGTTCTGACGAGCTGTTGTCGGACGTGCCGTGCATCTCCATGGAATATACCATCCCTGCAGCTTTCCACCCCCCCATCTCGGCTTCCTGCACGACATGGCATGGGCATAGGCCTGGACGCGAGCAACCTGGTCTGCAACATGTTCTGGGCATGCCTGGTGTGGGTGATGGGCCTAGGCCCCCCTGTGAGGACAGCGAACGAGCCCTATCGGATGACTCACTCCCACCGCATCCGTCAGCGAAGGGGCGCGGCATTCGCCCACGTGCAGGGCGCCAGTGCACGCCGAAAGGGTTACTGCGGCAGGTTCCAGAAGCTTGGAGCGACACGACGCGCGACTGTTGTTGCCACAGGGCGCGCCCTGGTATGGACACCCTGGCGCAGCTGCTGCGCGCAGCGCCCCGAGGCCAAGAGCTACGCGACAGGTTCAAGGACGCTGACGGCCAACCCCTGGACACCCGGAAGGCCCGAGCCCTCCTAGTCATCATGATGCTCATGGTAAGAGAGCCCAGGACTTCCCTTTGGTCCTTCCCCAACGCCGAAGGCGCGGGTGACGTCATCGAGGCTGTGCTCGGTCTCTGCGTACCCTGGCAGGACACGCACCTGGGGTTCCGGCAGAGTTTCGCAGCCGCGTGGAACCTCTTGCTGGACGACTTCGTGGAGCTGCACGGGAAAAGCGAGGACGCGCTCACCCTGGTCTCGCGCCTGGTAACGAACGCACATCATCACGATGTGGCGTGGGGCAGCTGGCTCAGGAGGTGCGGCACCAACAGAGGAGGCAGCCCAAATCCCTGTCCCAGGAGATGGCCAGGGGTCGACCCTTCCTACCTGCAGCTGCAGGAGAAGGGTACGAGAGGGAGGAGTTATGTCCAAGGAGAAGCGGTGGAGGAGCACGACGAGGAGGAGCAGCACAGGTCTTGGTGGAGACAGGCCTTGGACCCTGGGGCTCTCCCGGGGACCAGCTTGTCAGTTCGGGCGGGCAGCACCGGGTGGCGACCCCCCCAGTGGGGGGTGCAGAAGATGGCCCTGAAGGGGCCCTGCAGGGCCCCTTTGGGAGCCAGGCGGTGTCCAAATAGGGGCCCTAAAGGGCTCCTTTCGAGTTTTTTCTTTGCCCCCAATCTGGGCCGCCCCCCAGTACCACCAGAGCCCGATCAGCCTGAGTAGTTTCTCGATTGTCCTGCGGCTCAGGAGCGGCCCTTGGAGCCTGGACGTGGCAAAACAAGCTCGGGACCCCTTTCGCCCAGGGTTTTTTTTTTTTTTTTTTTTTTTGTTCTTCTTCCTTCTGGCGAGCCGAAGACTGCGGCGCGGATCGGGCCAGCATTACCTCGGGCATGTCCCTCTACAGGAGGAATATTAGAAAATATCCACAAATAACATGGGGACGGTGTTTCGATTATTTCTCGAGTCTTTCTTCACTACTTTTAATTTGTCTTCCCAAATCCGCCTGTAACACCTGCCCGACCTAAGGCCAGCAGCTCCGGAGGTCCTTGGAGGCCCCCCTGGGGCTTGCCGGGGGCCCCGCGAGGCCCAAACGAGGGCAGATAAGGCGTGCACAGCGTTTTGCCAGCGCTCGGAGCGGGCCTCCGCCGCGCCGCCCCTTGGGGGGAGCGCCCTCCCGTAGGGGGGGGGTACGGAGCTGCCCGGTTGGGGGTTGGGACTTCCGGTGTTGGGACTTCCATCGACTAGCGGTAAGAGTGACGTTTCGCCGGAGTGACCTTTGGTGCGGGCACAGATGGGTCCCCAGATGGCTGGAAGAGAAGCGGTAGCATCGGTTTGCGCGCTTGTGTGTTGGCCCCCCCGCGGTCCCAAAAAGCCGCGCACCAAAGGTCACTCTTACCCAGGGTCACTCTTGCGCGTAGCCGACTTCTAGTGTTCAGCTCCTCGGGCTTGGGGGCTGCTTCGCTGGAAAAAGAAGAAGCCCTCCCTTGGGGGGCGGGGGCGCCTATACGGGAGGCTCGCGCCGTGTCCATATAGGATCGCCCTTCCTTGGCGGGCAAGGGCGCCTGTACGGCAGGTTCGCGCCGTGTCGAGATACGATCGGAATTGAGGACAACACGACCCCCCCCCCACTCCCGACCTGGTGGTCCAGGGGGTCCTGGCTGGGGGTGGGGAATCGGGCTGGGAGCTGGACCAGCCCGCGCGCTCGCCCGCGCCAGAGCGACAGCCCAGTCTGCCACTTTCGGGCCGAGGGGCCCCCCCGAGCCTGGCAGGGAGGCCGCCCGAGCGGCCGCGCTTCCTCCTCCACCCTTCCCTCCCCGCTGCGTCTCCGCCCCCTCCCGCGCCTCGCCCTTCCGCACCCGCCCGCCCACTCGTCCCCCATCCCCCTCCTCTTCCTCCTCCTCCTCCTTTCCCCCTCCTACTTTCCCCCTCCTCCCCCTCATCATCCCCCCATTCCTCCTCAGCCTCCACCTCATGCTCCTCCTCCTCTTCTACCCTGTCCTCCGCCTCCTCCGCCTTCGCCTCCGCCTCCTCGGCTTCCTCCGCCTCGTCCTCCTCCTGCAGCCACGCGGGTCCCTTCGCCGCGGGTGATCTGTGGTCGGGAACCGGCGCAACCGCTCCACCCCAGGCACGGTCCACCGCTCAGCGGCGGCCGCCCCCGAGGAGGGGGTGCGACAGCCAGGGCCTATACCCAGCAAGCCTGGGACCAGCACGGCGAAGTCGACGATGGGGTAGTAGCTGGCCTCGAGCGCCAGTCGCCCGCCTCCAGCGCTGCTCGCAGTCCAGCGCCGCGCCGAGCGTCCCCCGGCGCCCAGTGGCGACCTCGCCGTCGGCGCGGCCTGGCAGCGTCCCCGCCGCGCGGCCCGGGTTTGCCCGCGCCCGCCGTCGCCGCCGTCGGCGTTGCGCCGCGTCGCCTCCGGCCCAGTGCGCGCCCCCCTGCGTCCCGCGCCAGGGGGCCCGCGCGCCGTCCGCTGCAGAGTCCGCCGTCGCCTCCTCCTCCTCGTCCTCGTCCTCCTCCTCCTCTTCTTCCTCCTCCTCCTTCTCCTTTCCCGCTCCTCCTCTTCCCCCTCCTCCCCTTCGTGATCCCCCCTTTCCTCCTCCGCCTCCCCCTCCTCCTGGACCCTACTTCGTTGGTGATTGCCGAGTGCCGAGAGTTGAAGAGGCCGCATTCCGCTGCCATTTAGGCCCTGTCAGTTTCGCGCTGAACAGGGGCCTTCCGCCTGTGCATGCCGTGGGGGCTGGACGCCTTGGCGCGCGACCTGACGCAGGCCGCCACCACAGCGCTGGTGGTGCGGTCGGGCGTCCCGTCGTGCCCCGACTGTGTCTGCTCGCCCGCGCTGACGTGCCCGCCGCTGACCTGCACCTGCCCTGGGGGCGAGGGGTATCTCAACCCCACTGCCGCAGAGGGGTACTCGGCGGCAGCGCTGGCGGTGGTCGCCGGCACCTGCCTCCTCCTGGGGGCCGCCGCAGGCGCCGCGGGCGCTCTCTGGGCGTTGCACCCCCGGCCGGCACCGAGCGCCAGCGCGCCGTGCCCGGTGGCGGCGCCTGGGACGCCCGCCACGGCGCTGGCGGTGCCAGCTGAGGCGGAGGCGCTGGAGGACGTGCAGGCGGTGGCCGCGGCGCAGGCGAGGGCTTTCCGTCGGCCGCGGGCGGCCGGGCAGTGATGGCGGCGCCGCTCGGCGGGGTCGAGGTACACCACGAGCGGGTGATCCTCTACGGGACTGGCTACGTGCTGACGCCAGACATGGACGACTACGGAGAAGGGCTGACGCCGGACGTGGACATCCACAGCGTGCGGCCGATCGCGGGGCAGGGCGGCCGCGCCGGCGGGATCGTGGAGGCTCGGACGTATCGTTTCCGCCGCCTGCCGTCGCCGGCGGAGCTGTGGGCTGCGCTGCGGAGGGGAGTGGCCGCGGGGTTCGGCGTGCTCCCGGACTCGCCCTTCCTGCTCGAGCTCTCGGCCGCGAACTGCGAAGGGCATCCCGCCGGGCCGCTGGGGGTCGCGGACCCAGTCGCGGCCCTGGCCCCGGCGGTGGCCATCGCGGGCCCAGCGGCGGCGCCAGCTGAGGCGGTGCCTGCTGCGGTGGTCGGACCGCCAGTGGCCGCCGCGGCCGCTGGCCCGGCCGCGCCGGGGGAGGCCGTGGCGGCTGCCCCTGGGCGTGCGCCAGCGGTGCCTGACGGCGCCCCCGTCCCGCCGCTGCCCTCTGGGGCTGCGCCGCCAGGCTGGGTGTCGGTGGCCGCGGAGGACGTCGACGGGCTCGTGGCGTTCGGCGCGGAGCTACAGGTGGGTGTCGCCGGGGGAGTGCAGCTGGTCTGGCGCTCCGGGCGCCGAGGCGGCTTCGCGCTCCCCGCTGGAGGCTCCGCTTTCGGGGTCCTGCTGCAGCAGAGCGAGGTGGCGTACTTCAGGCAGGAGTACCGAGGCAACGACGCGAGGACGCTAGAGGTGCCCGCCGCGTCTGCGGCGTCAAGCGGGCCGGCACGTGACTGGCGCGAGGTGGTCCAGCTGTGCCACCAGGAGCCGGTGGCCGACTTCGCGGTGCCAGGGCCGCGGACAGCCGCATGGTGTGCAATGTACCAGGTGAAGGAAGGTGGTCCGGCGCTCCATCATGATATGTGGAAAAGCCGCAGGAAGCTCACCTCGACGGACTTCGGCGTCGACATGCACGACACGCTCTCGCGCTTGATTGAGGCCATGGGCGTGTCGGACCACCTGGACGTCTTCAACTTGGCGAGCGCCGAGATCGGATATCGCAAGCTCCAGTTGATTGAGCATTACTGGGACGACCGCAGTGCCGAGCAGCAGCAGAACAACAGCAAGATCCCCTTGGAGGAGAGCCAGGCCTTCATGGGCGGGGCGCGCGCGCCTTCGATGGTGCGCACCGAGCTGCTCGACACCGCGTCGAAGGATTTGGAACGCATCTCAAGCATCAAGAAGAACGCCAGGAAGCTGAGGGAGGAGCAGGCCGCCGCCGCTAAGGCCAAGGGCGCTCCTCCCAGGACGGGATGATGCTGGGGCCGCCGCCGGGGATGCCTCGACCCGGTGGCGAACCTTCGGAGAGGCTGGTGGACAGCGACGGACATGTGCAGCGGTCGCTTCTGCCTTTGCCAGTCCCTGACTGGTGCCGTGCCCCTGGCGGCGCCTCGCGGGCGCGCTCTGCTCGACGTCGTCGTGGGCATCGAGCGCATCAGGGCGAGCTTCTCACCGAGCTCGTCGTCGCGCTCAACCAGCTGGATGCCGGCTCAGACCTCGTTCGCAGGCAGTGCGAGGGCGAGCCCAGCAGGATGCAGCAGCTATGCCTGGAGCGCCTCGCCGAAAGCTGCGCGGCGATGGGCGCTCCGCCTTCTGATTTGTCGTCCGAGGTGGCCCTCCGGGAGCTCCAGGTCGGCGCCGCCTACGGGGACTGCGACCCCGTCTCGGCGGCCCCCTTCGTGCGCGACCTCGTCTCCTTGCCGGCTGTCGGTGGCGCCCCGGCGCCGCTGGACCAGCTGCTCGGGAAAGACGGTCCAGACGTCGTGCGGAGGTTAATTTCTTCCAAGGTTTTGTCAAATCATGATGCCGCTGAGGCAAAGAAGGACTCGGGTTTTGCGCGGCCGTACCTGGGTCCAGCTCTCCGTCGGCGTGAAGACTACCTCGCCTTCATCAGCCGACCGAGCAAAGCTAACATGCTGGATTTCAGGCTCGACGGGGACGACTTCGAAGAGGTCGGGCTTTTCACAGTTTGGAAGACAGACGGTCGCCAACGTTTGGTGATCGATTGCAGGGGATCTAATTTGCATTTTGCAGAACCTAACAAGACCAGCCTCGCCAGCGGGGCCAGCTTCAGTCGCCTGGAGCTGCAAGAGGGTGAGCAGTTGTGGACAGGGGGCGTGGACATAGCCGACGCTTTCTACAACATGGTTTGTTTTGTGAACTTCGACGTTACTTTGCTCTTCCTCGATTGCGTGCCGCTGACCTTGGCCTCAAGGTCGTCGAGGGCCAGTCCGTGTCGAGCCGAGCCTGGGTCCGCCCGTGCTTGGCGGTCTTGCCAATGGGCTGGTCGCACGCTCTCGACTTCTGCCAGCGGGTGCACCGCTCGATCGTGCTGGAAAAAGGGGACCTCCCTGGGGCAGCTGAGATCGTTGACGGACGTCCGCCTGCGGATTCGAGGGAGGGAGCTTTCACGGCCTACGTCGACAACTTCGTCGCCTTCGGCACGGGGCCCGAGAGGCCTGGTGAGATGTTGGACGCAGCTCGAAAAGCCTTTGAAGGTGTGGGCCTGCCAGTGCACCCGACCGAGGCGCCCGTCACCGTTTCGGAGCAGCTGGGCTGGGTCTTGGACGGCGAGCGTGGGGCCTTGCGTCCCAAGAGTCGGCGTGTCTGGAGATTGAGGCTGGGGATTCTGGAGCTCTTAAAGAAGGGTTACGCCACGGGTCGCCAGATCGGAAAGGTTGCTGGACATTATGCTTTCATTGCTCTCGCTCAGAGGCCTATGCTCTCCGTCTTCAGTGCCGTGTACAGTTTCTCCCGGAAGTACTTCTCCCGAGTCATGAAAATCCCGCCTTCGGTTCGACGTGAACTTCAGTGGGCTGCCGCACTCCTCCATCTGGCTTGGTCTGACCTTCGTGCGCCCTGGGGCCCCATGGTGTATGCGAGCGACGCGAGCGAGGAGGGGGGGGGGGGTCTGCCAGAAGGAGGCCGACGTCGAGCTTGTCAGGGCTGCGGGTCGTGATGAGGAGAGGTGGAGGTTTCGTCATCCTGGAGTTTCTCGACCTCGCGATTGTCTCGGTGGCCCCGGGGATCCCGCGGAGGAGCCTGAGATCGTCGACGACTTCGAGGGGGTGAGCACGGAGGGCGAGAGGTGGAAGGCGCAGGAGGTTTCGAGCGAGCTGCACGGGGGCAGGTGGCAGGTGGTGTCTAGTGGAGGATGGGCCCGGGCTGAGAACATCATCGTCCTGGAGGGTCGGGCTATCGTTCACTCGCTCAGGCACGCTCTTCGAGATTCAAAATCTTTTGGTCGTCGCCTCCTTTTCCTGTCCGACAACATGGGGCTCGTATGTGCCTTGCAGAAGGGGCGCTCGTCGGCCGGGGGGGTCCTCCGCATCACCCGGCAGTGGGCTGCCTGGTGCCTGGCGGGAGGCGTGCAGGCCTCCGTCCGCTGGATCCCGTCGGAGCGCAACGTTGCAGATGCTCCGTCGCGCCGCCACATCCCCCTCGGCGCGTGGCTGGGCGGGGGCGCGGGCGGTGGCGAGCCAGACCTCGACCGCTGGGACGTGCGAGACGGGGGCCTCCGCAGCCAGCGCACCGACGTCGCGGCCGCGGGGGCGGAGCTCGAGGAGCTGGCCGTCCGCGGCGCCGCCAGCGGCCCCCTCCGGGGCGCCCGGCGCCCCCCGGCGGCTGCGGGGCAAGCGGGCGGCCGACGGGAGCGATCCTGCTCAGTCGGCGGTGCGCCGGCCTCGCCACGTCGGGGCGGCTGCTGCCGCGGCGCGGCAGCAGGGGCGCACGGCGCCGGCGCGGAGAGCAGTTCGCGCGGCTCGCCGGCGGGCGCGAGCCGCGCCTCTGGCCACAGGGGGGACCTTTCTGCAGAGGGCCTCGGTGACGCCGAGGACGGTCGCGCAGTGCGACATGCTGTGGCAGGACATCCTTCGGGCGTGGGCAGCGACTGCGCGCGTGACCGGCACCGCCCGAGTGCCCAGCGACGACGACATGGACGGCCTGCTGGCCAGCTGGATGTACCGCGAGTACTTGGCCGGCGAGCTGTCGCAGCGCGGGGCCAAGGCGATGGCGGCGGTGAAGTTCTTCCGGCCGCAGTTCAGCCGCACGGGCAGCCTCGCGCTGCCGCGGGCGGCACAGGTGGTGTCGCTGATCGCGCTCGAGCTGGTCGCCGCGGGCTTCTGGGCGATGGCTGCGTGGGTCGTCATCGCGTTCCACCGCTACCTGCGGCCCAGCGAGCTGGGGCGGGTCACGCCAGAGATGATCGTCGCGCCCACCCCGGGCACGCACGTCGCGAGCTGGGCCATTGTCCTGCGCCCGTCCGAGGAGGAGGTGAGCAGCAAGACGAGGGAGTTCGACGAGACCGTGGTGTTCGACCTCGCGGAGTTCAGCTTCCTCCACAGCGTGCTCGCTTTCCTCAAGAGGAGCGCGCCGCCAAGGCAGCCTGTCTTCGGTCTCCTGCACGCGGACCTCGTCCGCAACTTCAGGGCCGCGGCCGTGCGCGCCGGTGTCGAGTGCCTGGGCCCGGAGCTGTACATGTTGCGGCACAGCGGGCCGAGCCACGACCGGGCGCGGGGGCCGCGGACGCTGCAGGAGATAAAGCTGCGGGGGCGGTGGCACTGCGACTCGAGCGTGCGCAGGTACCAGAAGGAGGGCCGCCTGGGGGAGCAGCTGCAGAGGCTGCCGAGCGCCGCCCGCGAGCGGGCAGTCGGCTCGACCGCAGCGCTCTGGTCGGCCCTCGTGAGGCCTTTGCTCGCACCATGGCCTCCAGGGGTGCCCGCCTCGTCCAGCCGCAGGTGTTTCTAGAGCTGTTCAGCGGGCACGGTGGCCTGTCTCACAGCCTGCGGTCGCGCGGCTTCTTCGTCCTTGAGTGGGACAAGACGCGCGGGCCCCAGTGGGACTTGAGCCAGCGTGCCACGCAGAAGTTGGTGAGAGGCTGGATTCTGGCCGGGCTCGTGTGGGGCGTGTTCATGGGCACGCCATGTCAGACTTGGACGAGGGCGCGGGACACCGGGCCCCTTCGAGATCCTGACAACCCTCGACCCTGCCTGCCATCCCGTCTTCGCAGTGACCAAGAGTTGATGGGCTTGAGTGACCTCAAGCATCCCAGCGATCTCGAGGCTGTGAGAGTAGGCAGTCTGTTGGCCGCCTTTTGCTGTAGCATCTTCGAGCTCATGCACCTTCTAGCTCTGCCTGTCGCCATCGAGAATCCTGCCCGCTCGCGTCTGTGGCTCCTCCCTCGTCTTTTAAAGGCCAGCAGCTGGGCTACCTCTTCGTTCATTATTACAGACATGTGTCAGTGGGAACGCCGTGGAAGAAACCTACAGGTGTTCTAGGCGATCGCATCTCTCTCGCACATCTTGCCTGTCGATGTTCAGGGAAAGTCTGTAGTCGCACTAATAAGCCTCACACGTCAATTCACGGGTTAGCATCAGCAGGTGGTTTCAAGACGAAGGCCGCCGAGCGCTACCCCCCTCGCTTTTGCAGTGCGCTCGCGGCCGCTTTCGAACAGGCCCACTGGAGCGCCAAGACGAAACAGCTCTCTCCCCTTTTTACGTGAATGTGATTCCCCCTGCAGTGTCTAATTAGTCGAGATGACCAGCTGGAAAGTGTGGCAAGGTTGCGTGTTGTGAGCCCTCGTCTCTGGCTAATGTTCTCAGTTCGCGCCCAGGCTCCGCCCGACGCGAACCGATCGTGTTCCAGAGCCCGTGCATCCTTGCCTAAGCTCGTCTGCGCCCAGAGGTGCCGCAGAAAAGAAGTCCCCTGGCCTTGGCAGCGGCGGCAGCAGGCATGGACCCTACTTCGTTGGTGATTGCCGAGCGCCGAGAGTTGAATAGGCCGCATTCCGCTGCCATTTAGGCCCTTTCAGTTTCGCGCTCCCAGTCCCTCCCACCCCTCGCGCGTGTTGTGAGCCCTCGTCTCTGGCTAATGTTCTCAGTTCGCGCCCAGGCTCCGCCCGACGCGAACCGATCGTGTTCCAGAGCCGGTGCATCCTTGCCTAAGCTCGTCTGCGCCCAGAGGTGCCGCAGAAAAGAAGTCCCCTGGCCTTGGCAGCGGCGGCAGCAGGCCTCCTCCTCCTCCTCCTCCTCCTCCTCCTCCTCCTCCTCCTCCTCCTCCTCCTCCTCCTCCTCCTCCTCCTCCTCCTCCTCCTCCTCCTCCTCATCGTCCTCCTCCCTCCTCCTCCTCCTCCTCCTCCGTCGCCCCCGTCGCCGCCCCCATCCCTCCTTCCCCTCTTGCACCTCCTCCCCCACCAGTCCTCCCCCTCCCTGCCCCTCCCCGATCGGTCGCGCCTCATGGCTGAGCCCCCCTCCAGCGCATCCCTCGTGCTCGGCGGCGCGGCCGCCGGGCGCCGGCGGTGTGCCCTGCTGATGGACAGCGACGTGTGCGGCGCGCCGCGTGGGGCGGCCCAAGCCACGCCGCCGACGCCGCCGACGTCGTCGCCGTCGCCGCCGCCTACGGCGCCCTCGTCGCCACCTTCGCCTGCACCGCCGACGCCGCCTATTCCGCCTATGTTTCCGTCGCCGCCGACGCCTCCGCCGGCGCAGGCGCCGACGACGTCGCCGACGTGTTGCCGTCGAAGTCGCCGCTGCCGCCGACGTCGTCGGCGTCGTCGGGGGGGGGGGGAGCCGTGTTGTCGGCCTGCGGCATTGCCCCAGGGCCGATCTTCAGAGGGAGGGGTGGGGGTGGACTGTCTCGGGCGTAGTGGGGAAGGTTGTTCGCTCATCCTACTGATCCTCCTCGCCCTCTTTCTCGTCTCCCGCACGTCCTCCCCCCATCATCCTCTTCCCGTCGTCTCCCGCCCCTCCTCCCTCCTCCCGCTTCATCCTCCTCCTCCTTCTCCTTCTCCTCCTCCCTCCTCCGTCTCTCGTTCCTCGCCTCTCTCCCCTTCGCCGACATTCCTTGTCTTAATTGCACCAGAGACAACCATAATCAGTGGATCTGTATTTGTCGCAGGCACCTCGATCGGCCTCTCTTCCGCCCTAGTCTAGTTCGGATATGCATTGTAGTCTATCCTAGTTATCATATGTTCATTCCTCCTTCACTCTCTCTCTCTATATCTCTCTCTCTCTCTCTCTTTCTGTTTCTTTCTCTCTCTCTCTCTCTCTCTTTATGTCTCCCTCTCTCTCTATTCCTCTTCCGTGGTGTCCCGTGGGGCGGGGGTGTTCCGTGCTACGCTGTATGTTATGTTGTGTTCTGGTAGCGGTAGTGAGGTCGATAGCGAGACCGCTAGTGGCATCGATAGTAAGATACATTGAGTGAGATCGAAAAGTGGGATCAATCGTGAGATCGATAGTGAGACCGATAGTGAGTTCGACAGTGAGGTCAATTCAGTGCGCTCGAGTGTGAGATCGATCGTGAAATCGATAGCAAGGTCGATAGTGAGATCGAGAGTGAGATTGATAGCAATATCGATTGAGTGAGATCGATGGTAATATCGATCATTACATTGATCGTGTGCTTGATCGTGGTATCGATATTGGGATCGATCGAGTGACATGGATAGTGGAATCGATAGTGGGATCGACTTTGAGGTCGATAGTTACATCGATAGTGAGATCGATTGAATGACATAGATAGTGAGATCGATCATGAGATCGATCGTGAGATCGACAGCGAGATCGATAGTAACATCGATAGTGAGATCGATCGTGAGATCGGTAGTGTGGTCGATCGTGCGATCGATAGTGAGGGCGATAATGGCATCGATAGGGAGATCGATTGTGGCATCGGTAGAGACATCGATAGTGAGACTGTTAGTGGGAGCGATCGCGAGATCGATCGTGAGATCTATAGTGAGATCAATCGTGAGATTGGTTGGGAGATCAATCGTGAGATGGATAGTGAGATCGATTGAGCGACATGGATACTGATACCGGTAGTGACATCGATAGTGATATCGATTGAGTGAGAAGGATGGTGAGATCGATAGTGAGATCGATAATGAGATTGACCAGGAACACGGGAACCCAGGAACCAGAAATTTGAACCTTGGGAACCCCGCCGCCCACCGAAATCGGCCTGGAACCAGCAACCGGGAATTGGGGAACCCGGAAATGTGAGCCCGGGAACCCGGCCGCCTACCGGAACCGGCCAGGCATTTTCGCCAAATCTTTCAACCTCCGCCAGTACCCCTTCAGTGCAAGCACTGATTGGGGAATAGGAAACTCATACCTGTCGCACCCCCAGACGTGTCAGTAGAGCGGGCAGGTCGTTTCGCTTGTTCACAGATAGAGGGCGGGCCGTTTTCGAAATGTGGTTCTCGCCGCAGCGCCGCACACATGTGTTAAAACATGCAACAGCTACAAGGATATAGGGCGAGCCGTTTTCAAGCTGTGGCTCTCGCGTCAGCCACGCGCTCATTCGTTGTAAAATATGGCAGGGGCTTCGAGGACGGAGGGCGGGCCGTTTTCAAAATGTGGGTATCGCCTCAGCGACGCGCACATTCGTTTCAAAAGTTCGCAACACTTTCACTGATGGAGGGCGGGCTGTTTTCAAAATGTGGCTTTCGCCTCAGCGCCGCGCATATTCCACTTAAGAGTGTGCAAGAGCTTCAAGGATGCAGGGCGGCTCTTCTTCAAAAATGTGGCTCCCACCTCAGCGCCGCGCACATTCGTTCTGGAAGGTGTGCAGCAGTTTCAAGGATTCGCATGGCCGCAATCCCAGGAATGGTGTTTTGTACAGATTTAGGATTGTCGGGACGCAACAGTCACGTTGATTGTGTTGAAGACACAGGGGTAGCGTTCTGGCACGGTTTAAGGCTTCACGATGCAACCATCACGTTAAATCGTGACGCTGAATTTCCAGGAGTTCTGTTTTGGCACGCCTGACTACTCTCAGACGGTTTCTTTCGGATGGTGCATTTCCCGCAATGGAAAAATTTAAAAGGGCCGTATGAAGAGGGATCTTGGATGGGTGGGGGTATTGCAGCATCGTCGATGCGTCTTGGGTTTACACTCGTCCCCCTCCTCCTCCTCCTCCTCCTCCTCCTCCTCCTTCCGCTCCTCTTCCTCCTCCTCATCATTCTCGTCCTCATCCTTATCCTTATTTCCTCTTCTTATTTCTCGCCTCTCCTCCTCCTCCTCCTCCTCCTCCTTCTCCTCCTCCTCCTCCTCCTCCTCTCCCTCCTCCTCCTCCTCCTCCTGCTCGTCCTTCCCCCTCCTCCCCCCTCATCCTTCTCCTCCTCCTTCTCCTCCTCTCCTCCTCCTCTTCCTCCTCCTCCTCCTCCTCCTCCTCCTCTCCTCCTCCATTCCTTCTCCTTATAGATAACTCCTCCCTGTCGCACCCCGAGGCCAGTTTTTAGGGCGGGCCGGGCGTTTCGCCTGAGACTTCCTCACCATTTTTGATTCTGAAGCTTCAAAAGTGACAACGGTGTCACAGATGGAGGGCGGATGGTTTTCAACATGTGGCTCTCGCCTTAGCGCCACGCACATTCGCTTCAAACATTTGTAAGATCTTCACGGGTTGAGGGCGGGTGGTTTTTTAAATGTGGTTCTCGCTTTAGCGCCGTGCACATTCGTTGTAAACATTTGCAAGAGTTTCACGGATTGAGGGCGGGTGGTTTTCAAGATGTGGCTCTCGCCTCAGCGCCGCGCACTCTCATTTTTGACATTTGCAAGAGCTTCACGGATTGAGGGCGGGTGGTTTTCAAGATGTGGCTCTCGCCTTAGCGCCGCGTACATTCGTTTAAAGCAATTGCGAGAGCTTCACGGATTGAGGGCGGGTCGTTTTCAAGATGTGGCTCTCGCTTTAGCGCCGCACTCATTTGCTTAAAACATGTAAGAGCTTCACGGATCGAAGGCGGTTCCTTTTCAAAATGTGGCTCTCGCTTTATCGCCGCGCACACGGTTGTTTTTATATACAAACGCAAGAGTTTCACGGGCTCCCATGATCAGCGTACCAGAATTGGTGTTTTGGAAGGGTTCAGGATTGTGCGGGCGCAGCAGCTATGTTGATTCGCTGTGTTGACGTTCCAACAATGGCGCTCTGGCACGGTTCTGGATCTTTACGACGAAGCAGACAGGTTGGTACGTGGCAGAAAAATCCCAAGAACAATGTTTTGGCACGCTTCAGGATCTTCGAACCGTTGTAGGGGCCTATGAAGAGGGAGCTTGGAGGGAGGGTTACTTCCAACATCGTTGATGACTCTTGGGTTTCCACTCCTCCTCCTCCTCCTCCTCCTCCTCCTCCTCCTGTACCCTTCTCTACCCTCCTCTGGCCATCTCCCCCCCCCCCGCTTCTCTCCCCTCCCAGCCTCCCCTGGTGGCCAGGGGGGAGATCCAGCAGCCCCCGCACTCGCCGGCCGCCGCGGAGGCCCCTCGTTCTGGGAGCCCGCGCTGGAGGTCGTCCGGGGCGAGGGGGCGCTGGTTTCCGCGAGCATCTTCATCGCAGAGGGCGCGGCGGGCCCTCTCAACGAGGCAGAGGAGCAGGACCAGGGACGAGGAGGAGGAGCAGGAGGAGGAGGAGGAGGAGGAGGAGGAGGGGGAGGGTGGTTTTCTTGCCCCTGATAATGGATATACCAGGTCTGCGAGGACCTGCTTGATCTTATGGACTAGTTCGGGGGAGGAGGAGGAAGAGGAGGAGGAGGAGGAGGAGGAGCAGGAGGAGGAGGAGGAAGAGGAAAATGAGGAGGAGGAGCATGAGGAGGAAGAGGAGTTCCGCAGCCATTTTGGCTCAAGCCGTTTTGGCTCAAGGTGCCATCTCCTCGAGGTGGTTGAGTCAGACCTTGGCCACCGCGCCCCTGTTCTTCTCTCGGACGATCCGTCCTCGAGAGGACGTTCATTCGTCCAAGAGGGTGCCTCCCCTTGGTCACATTTCTCTTCCAGAGCGCCCCGCGAAGGGGAGTCCCAGAACAGTTCCAGCGGTTTATGTTGAGGTCTACGCGATGCATTATAATGACCTGGCTCTCGTTCCTCCTGCTACAGTCGGCGGCAGCGGCAGTGGGTTCAGTGGTCATCCAGCCGCCCCTCTCGCGAAGTACCCCGAGCTGTTGAAGGTAAAGGCAAAGGTGCTGACTCCTCCCTCCTCCCTCCTCCCTCCTCTCCTGCGGCGGACCCTCCTCCCTCCACCCTCCTCCCTCCGCGCTCCGCCCTCCGCCCTCCGCCATCCGCCCTCCGCCCTCCCCCCTCCTCCCTCCGCCCTCCGCTCTCCTCCCTCCTCCCTCCGCCCTCCTCCCTCCTCTCCGTCTCCTGCGGCGGACCCTCACGCGGGATTTCGGCGACGGAGGCTGCCACGTCTGGGCTGAAAAGGGTTCCATCAGAACCTCCCTCAGCGCGTCTTGCAGTGGAAATCCATGCCAAGGACCCCACATGCCTCCAGGGGGCCCTGGGTTTCTTGCGTTTCGATGGTTCTGCTGCGGAGGGCGTGACGTTCCCACACCAAACATCAATGGACGTCCTGGGGTCTCAGGGTTGGGTTTCTTGTGGAAGGTTTCTTGTAGTCGAGCTCCTGTTGTAGTACGTCTTAGGCTACAGCAGGTGCTGATTCTCTGTGCTGGGCTTCGTGGGTCAGATGTGCCCGCCCAGCTGGGATAGTTTGAGAGTCCCGGGTGCGCAGAGAGATGTAGCGGCGTTTCGCGCGCCGCGGCCCGGATCGGAGAGCCGTTTTTCCCTGCAGACGGCGGTGCGACAGGCGAAGTTTCGAGGGGGCGGTCGACGACAGGTTTGATTTGCCCCAGAATTGCTGCTTTGGGCGCATGTGCCAACAATTTGTCGAATGCTCCGTAGGGCCACGGCCCTTCTTGCGCATGTTTCGTAGACTCGACGGAAACATTCTGGGGCTAGAACGGTCGGGGGCCCATCGGCGATTCCTCGACACGGGCTTGGCCTTGGTGGGCTGGCGGCTGGCGGTGGACCCTGCACTTGCGCCCGCCAGGATTTGGCCTGTCCCTGCAGCGGGGAGGACAGGAGCATGGGGCGTGCAGGGCAGGCCTGCCTGATCTTCAGAGGGCATTCTCGCTCTTTCTCTCTTTCTCTCTCGAGCCTTGTCTTCAGATGCTCTAGAAGGGAGGGAGAGGAAGAGGATGAGGCGGCACGAGGAGGAGGAGGAGAAGGAGGAGGAGGACGAGAGGAGGAGAAGACTAACAACAAGAAAAATGATTATGGGGTGGCAGGGTGGGGTGGCGAGGGGAAGGAGGAGGAGGAAACGGAGAGGGAGGAGGAGTGAGGGAGGAGAGAGGGAGGAGGGAGGGAGGAGGAGGAGGAGGGCGGAGTTCGGAACAATCAAATTGGCATTCGCGCCTATTCTGCAGATGCCGCGTTTTGTCGGTCGGAAGCCTGCCTCTGACCGATGCTGAGGAGGAAGACCAGCAGCAGCAGCACTAGCAGCAGCAGCAGCAGCAGCAGCAGCAGCAGCAGCAGCAGCAGCAGCAGCAGCAGCAGAGGAGAGGGGGCACGGGAAGATGAGGTGCAGGATGGCAGAGGGGGGAGGAGGCGCAGGAGGGAGTATGGGAGGAGGGAGGGCGGGAGGAGTAGGCGCAGGAGGAAGGAAGAGGATGCGCAAGAGAATGATCAGGATGAGGATGAGAAGGAGGGGCATAACGGACGGAGGAAAATGAGGATGGAAAAGGAGGAGGAGTCGCAGGAGAGATGACGAAGGGAGCTGAGACGGAGGACGGCGATGAGGAAAGAGGAGCAAGAAGAACAGGGGAATGAAGGACGTGGATCAAGGAGGGAGGGAGGAGGGATGAAGGCGAGGATGATGTGCAGGAGAGTGGAGGAGACAAATGAAACAGAGGGAGGGAGTAGCGAGGAGGGACCGGGAATTATATCGGAGGGATGGGAGAGGGGGGGAGAGTGACGACATGGGAGAAGGGGTAACAGGGCTGGACCTAAACGGTGTTTTTGGTGATTTCGTGAGCCGTTTTCGTTTCGATTTCGTTTTGCGGTAAAGGCGGATTCGAGACAAAGCGAGGGAAAACGACAACAAAACGAAAACGAAAGACACCGTTTAGGTTCAGCCCTCAGGGGTAATGAGGGATGAGTTCTATCGGAGGGATGAGGGAGGGGGGAGAGTGACGACATGGGGGAAGGGGCAATGAGGATGCAGGAGGGCTAAGGACGAGAGGGCGAAGAACGACGTCGGCCGGTGACTGCTCACGCGGCTCTCTGCCCACGGGCGGCTGCACGTATTACGGCACCACTGTAAGCGTGCCTGCGTGCGCTCCTCCCCGGCCCATGAGACGCCACACCTCTCTCGCGCGGACGGTGCCGCACGGGGACTGCTCGGCAGCAGATCACGGGAGCCTTCAGGAGCGAAAGAAGGACGTACACGTACATGAATCCACGCTGGTTTCGAGAGTACGCATTGCGCAGATGTTTCACGCAGCAGGAAAAGGTACCCATACCTCTACCGATCCCTCATTTTCCCCATCTATTGGCCTCCTGGGCAGTCCTCGTCGCCACCGCTGGATTCGCCTCGACATCCGGGTCAGAACGCACCCCGGGAGAGGTCCAGGGAGTAGCGGTATCGGTACCTTTTGGTTTCCCCAGATCATTTGAGTTTGGCGTGCCCTGTTGGTTCCGTCTTTAGCGTCGATTCGCGTCGGTTAGCGGCTGGGAGTCGATTAGACGGCGCCGATTTGAAGCGTCGGCTAGCGTCGGTTAGCGTCGATGTGACGTCGATTCGCGTCGGTTTGGCGTCGGCTGGCGTCGGTTCGCAAGAGTCGACAAGATGGTATGGGAGGCCCCAAAAGAGTTGCCTCCGAAGGGACCTGTACCAACCCTTCCGCTCACTGCAGTACACCCCTCAGGCTGCTCGTACCCCACAGGGGGGGAGGAGGAGGAGGAGGAGGAGGAGGAGGAGGAGGAGGAGGAGGAGGATCAGTGTAAACCCAAGAGTCATCAACGATGTTGGAATAAACCATCACTCCAAGCTTCCTCTTCGTATGCCCCCACAACGGTTCATTTCCACTGAGGGGGATTGCCTCGTTGGCGCGCCCGCCTGCGGACCCCCGCCCAGTTCGGCACACCCCTCACGCGTGCGGGGCTCCGCAAGGGGCTCCACCCACGGCCCCGGAGGGCGCGCCCGCACGGCGACCTCTCCCCCCGCGCCAATCTCGGGACACGACCCGCACGGACCTGGCCTCTATAGAAAGCCGTTTTTAATACATGCTCCGCGTGCGGATCACGTATTAAAAATGCAGGGATTTAGTATTAAAAACAACGATGAATTCATGCATGAATTCATTCATACATTAAGCATGCATGAAACATCCTATATTTTAAAAAATCCGATGTGTTAAAAAGTACCCTGTAGGGATATCCACATGCGGCGCCAGTGGGCGCGCCCGCATGGCGCTCCCCCGCCAAGTCAAGCACGTCCCCGCATACCGTCGGCGGCGAGCGAGGGGGGGAAGTGAGAAGGAGAAGGCCTCACAAGGTTCGGAAGCCCCACGGCCTTCCGAGAAGTGTTCTGAACCTTCCCCGAGGACCAACCAAACTTCTCAGAAGGCGCGAGGGCTTCTGAGAAGTCCCGCCGCCTTCTGAGAACGCCTTCTCCTTCTCATTTCCCCCCCGCTCGCCGCCGATACTGATCGTGCCCCATGGGGTGCTACAGATCGCTTTCGTGGGCACGCCCGTGTGGCGTCCACCCCATGCCGGCACATCCGTCATCACACGGACTACGTCTCCTTGGCGGGGGCCTTCGGAGACCGCTCTTCGGTCCAGCAGCTTGTCTGCGACGAGTCCAGGAATACAGTCGACCCGCAGAGTAAGGATCGGCATCCCTCCCAAGTGTACCCTTGCATCCCTGCTTCCCGGGTCCGTCCTTGGACACTCTCGTCGGCCGCGCCCCGCTCGAAACGCTTCGAGATGGGCGTCCAAGGCCCTTGCATCCTCATCGCGCATCCTTACTCTGCGGGTTGACTGCAACGCCCTGAGCTGGAAGAAGCAGACCGCCATGCCCATGGCGTGAATACCCACCCGTGTGCCACGCGTACGGGCAGCCGCCAGGGGGCTGGAGCGGCGCCCGCGGCGCCGCACCCACCACCCTGGCATTGCTCGGACGTGTGCATTTTTTCTCGGCGAGGGCCATCGAGGAGGAGGAGGAGGAGGAGGAGGAGGAGGAGGAACGAGGAGGAGGAGGAGGAGGACGAGGAGGAGGAGGAGGAGGAGGACGAGGAGGAGGAGAGCATGCTGGGCCATTCTGCCAAACAAAAGCCACGCACGAAAACGAGAAATGCACGGGGAATGGACGTCCGATCGCTGGCAGGTCACCAGCCGTGAAAGATCCGCGGGGCGCTGGCCGATTTCCGGGACCTCCGCCGCCCGCGGCGCCCACGGGCGGCGCGGGCAGGCGCTGCCCGGCCAACAGGGGGCCCTCGGAGGCGGGCGGGGGCTCGGCTCCGTGGTGCGGGGGACCCAGGGCCCTCCTCCTCCGCCTCCGCCTCCGCCTCC